TACCACTGAAGAACCGTTTTGGTTCCCCAATGAACCTTTCAGTGGTCAGTTCTTAAAAGAACCATTTTTGAAGTACATTTTAAAAATGTGAAATGGAAAGGTTCCATGGATGTTAAAGGTTCTTTATGGAACCATTAATGCCAAAAGAACCTTTTTTAAGAGTGTAAAGGAACAATTTTTGGGTTTCACAAGGAACCTTTCAGTGAACAGTTCTCAAAAGTACAATATTTCGTAGTGTAAAGAACATTTTAATGATCTAAAGAACCTTTTTTTCCACTATAAGAACCTTTTGTTCAATGGAACAGTTCCATGGATGTTAAATGTTCTTCATGGAACCATCAATGCCAATAAGGAACCTTTATTTTTAAGAGTGTAGAACAGGGTCCCTTAAATCATGCCCTGGAGGGCCAATGCGCTGCAGAGTTTAGCTCCAACTCTGATCAAACTCACCTACCTGTGTTTTTCTAATGATCCTGAAGACATTGATTAGCTTGCTCAGGTGTGTTTGATTAGGGTTAGAGCTAAACTCTGCAGGAAAGTGGATCTTGTGGGCCAGATTTGAGGATTCCTGGTGTAGAAGAACCATTTTTGGGTTTCACAAGGAACCTTTCAGCGAACAGATCTCAAAAGTACCATATTTCTTAGTGTAAAGAACATTTTAATGATCTAAAGAACTTTTTTTCCACTATAAGAACCTTTTGTCCAATGGAAAGGTTCCATGGATTTTAAATGTTATTCATGGAACCATTAATGCCAATAAGGAACCTTTATTTTTAAGAGTGTAGAAGAAACATTTTTGGGTTCCATAAGGAGCCTTTCAGTGAACAGTTCTCAAAAGTACTATATTTCTTAGTGTAAAGAACATTTTAATAATCTAAAGATCCTTTTTTCAACTATAAGAACCTTTTGTCCAGTGGAAAGGTTCAATGGATGTTAAAGGTTCTTTATGGAACTTTTGATGCCAATAAAGAACCCTTATTTTTAAGAGTGTGCTGCTTTTTTAAATAGCATGCATGCAGAATATATATTAGTAGATCAGCTGTCATTTCTGCACGTTGCCCTTGTGTGTTACGTCGTGATGGTGTACTCGTCATGCTGTGAAGGACTTTAGGATGACGCGCTCCTAATTGCGATTGTACAACTGCTGCTATTCATAGCTGAGTTTTGCTGAGTTTAAAGTGATGTCATGTTTCAAGGCCGGGGAAACAGGATTGTATCAGATTCGCAGGGCAAAAATAGACATGTTTGAGGAAGCTGTATTTTGGGCTCTCTAAATTCTGTCCTCCTGTACCTAATCGTCCTTTTTATCTCCAGCAAGATTTCCGCGAGAGAGAGTGTAAGCATGACATCCCAGCGCTGGCGCCTCAGGAGGGGAGGAAAAACTCAGCATCAGCAGTCGTGAAAACAACTGTTTGCTGTTTTCCCTCTGATCTTTTCCATGCTGTCGCCATTTAATCGTCCTTCCCGTTTCTGCTCATTGTTCTCCGTGAACTTCTGGCAAACCTCCTTGACCCCTTTCCAGACCGGCATCTAGGCCAGGCAGCCTCGTTCTTGCCCAGGGGACGTCTGTCTAAGACTTTCTATTACGGGAAAATTAAAGGGATAGTGAGCTCTCCTGGATAATGCCTGAACGATATGCATGAATTGACGCTGCGTAATAAAAAAAAATACGACGTGGCCCTGTTACATTACCTGTCCTTTTCAGAGCAACTTTTACTGTTTATGTAGCAGTTTTATGGTTTCATGTTTCAAAGTTATCAGCATCCACCTCATGTAGGTAATGAGGCTTTTGCTCTCGCGAATGTTTTTTTTCCCTCCTCACAATCAACTGCTGATCTCTGCTTTATAGCTGAATAACAATAGTAAGCAACAGAATGAATGTTCAGAGATCAAGAAAACGAAGAATCATTGGCGAGATAATAGGCATTGTCATCGTACAAACCTATATCTGCTTCTTGCCCTCCTCGTGCACCCGGGGCCATCTGCCGATGCCAAAATTTGGACGTTTACCAGTTGGAAACAAGATTAGGGGCCGGGCCGATGTAGATTAGTCCCGGGAGAGCGGTGTGTCCTGAGGGCCTGAAAAATGAGGATTGCTGGAAAGGGTTTGTGGGTAGAGAGTGTGTGTTTGAGTCTCTCATCTGATCAGGCTCTTGTGAGAAATCTCATATCAGTCTGATGTGTCAATAAAACATAATAGAGAGCCCTGGTCTGATTTAGGTGACAGGCCTGGATGTGACTGCTTTTACTGGAGGCTTTCTGAGGAGATGATTTCTTGTTCCTCTGGAGAGACAGTAAAGAACATGTTCACATGGATATGGCATATGATTACTGCTGTTTAGAGGGGAGATGATTTTTTTGTCTGTAATAGCACTAAAAATGAAAATTCTGCCATGATTTAATGACTCTCATGTCGTTCAGTATTGTTTTTCTTCTTCTGTGAAGGAAATGTTTTGGTCTTGGAATTACTTGGTTTATGCAACAAAAGACACATGAGAACTGATGTCTTTTGGCTATTTTTGAATTTAACACAAGTGTGAGAGAAATGTTTGTTTATCTAAGTAATAAATAAACATAATTAGTAAAGCTGAATTTCACATTTTAATTATTCATTTTTTAAAAATAATTAAATAAAGGTTCTTTATTATCATTTTTTAAATTAATAATTTATGTATTATTTTGTATATTTAAATGCAGCCCCTAGCAAGACATGGTGATGGAAAAAAATATAATAAAAGGGTGAAAAAAAAAAATGCAATGCTTTTCATTAATTGTTTTGCATTCCTCCAAGAAATTTCACGGAACCTTTACTATCCTTCTTCTGTAAAGCACTAAAGGACATTTTTGGTCTTGGAGATTCTTTGCTTTGTTCGCAAAAGAATTTATGAGAGTGAAAAATGTTTTCTATAAATAAACATAATTACTCATATTTATTTTAAATCAAAATTCATTTAAATTCATATTTATTAACAATTTATTTTTTATTTTATTATATTTAAATGGAGCTCCTAATAAGACATGGTGATCGAAAAAAAATAATTTTAATGAGAGGAAAAATGTTTTAGTCCCTTTGCTAATGTTTTGCATTCCCCGAGTAATTTTGCATTCACTCACAAAACCTTTTTTTTACTTCTGTGAAACACTAACAAAAATGTTTTGGTTCATGTAACAAAAGTGGATGATTTTTTTAATGTTGCATTGAAATTGGTGACATGACATATTTTGCCATTTTTGAATTGAACAAAAGCATGAATGAGATTTATGAGTGAGAAAAAAATTTTTAATCAAGAAATAAGCATAATTAGTAGCCTAAAGATTTAAAATGTATTTAATGTATACTTTTAATTTATTTGTGTATTATTCATTCATAATTTAGCATATTTATACAGAGCCCTTAAAGAGACATGAAGATAGAAAAAATATATATAACATGGGAGGAAAAAACATATTTAAATTCTTTAAGTTCTCACACAGATATTTTGCGTTCCCCTAAGAAACTTTGCATTTGCAAAATCTCAACAGTATTGCAAACAAGGGCAACATTTCTCTGGAAAATGCAAACGGTTTGTGTATTTTTTAATTTTTATGTAGCATATCCTGAAAATGAGACACTTTATTATTTTTTTATCTATCTATGTATGTATGTATGTATGTCTAAGAAATAATTTAGTCTAGTCATTTAATTTTAAGTCATCAAGTGAAAGGCTTGGTTCAAATGGTTTTGTAAATAAAAAAATATTTAGATAAAATAATTTCATATATTTTGTTTACATAATAATATTTTCCCTTTAAACTATTGTTTGTAATATTTTAGTAAATAATATTTACTGAAATATTATTGTATATTACTTGTATATGTATATATAAACAAAAATGTAATCTTTGAACACTAGTGTTCTAATGAATTCTGTTTAATTTAAACTCTTTATTCGATCATTAAATTTCCATTTGTCATTGACCAAAATAACTTTATAAATATAGTATTTAAGTACATTTACTTGTATTCTCTTTATATGGCATATTAATAATAGTATGAATAGTATGGTAGTATGTAGTTATGAATGAGCTACTGGATTTTAATCCAATTTTGTGTTAGCAAACAGATCAAATAGTAGACAAGAATGTAAAAAAAAATCAGTTGTTTGAAATGCAAAGTCAAACTGAGTGCATTGCATTGTGGGATATAGTATTTCACAGGGTGCTCTGGTTGCAAACTGTATACCTTTGCAAATGTCATCCAGGAATTGCATGCATATAGAAAATGTGCATATTGTACACAGTATGCGTACTGTAAAAAAATCATACGAGTAATATCATATTATGCCATTCGAAACATACCTATAGTGTTTCCACTCAGAGATTTATGAGTTACAGCTTAACCATGACCACCCCTGTAAATTAATTAACCCTCATGCAGTGTGTAGGAGGACAGCGCTGATTATGGCTGCTGCAGTGCTGCGGTGTGTGTGAGTGTTTATGAGAAGCACATCACCTTAATAGCATTCTGCAATTCTATGATGGTATATTTTGCTATTAAACATGGGTAATGGGATGTGTCAGGGGCCTTAGAGATGAGCTTTGGAGCCTTGCGAATTGAAATACGCATGCACTTTTCCAAACTAATTTGCACAATTACATTAAATGTGACTACAAAATAGATTCTGAGCAAGCATTTGTCATTAAATAGAGATGGTCCTCAGTGCAGAACACAAGATCCAGTGGGCGAGGTTGGATCCAGATCCAACTCCTCCCACCTTACATATCCCTAAACCTATCCGTCTCCGCCCCCTGATCCCTAAACCCACCCATCTCTCCACCCCTAAACCTACCAATCTCCACCCCCTAGATGAGGATCCAACATCGCCCCCTGGATCTTGTGTTCTGCAGTGAGGGGCTACTGATTAAATAAGCGTAATCATATTCACACAAATTGTCATTCTCTTCTACACACACACATATAGAGTTGTTAAGTGTTTGACTGACGTTGGTGTTTGTTGCAGGTATGGAGACATGGTCCCAAACACCATCGCTGGAAAGATCTTCGGCTCTATCTGCTCTCTCAGTGGCGTGCTGGTTATCGCCCTTCCTGTACCCGTCATCGTGTCCAACTTCAGCCGAATCTACCATCAGAACCAGAGAGCAGACAAGATGCGAGCCCAGCAGGTACTACAGAACCGCTTCATCTCAGTCTAGATTTGTTCTGGATATTCTTTTGGTTTTAAGAACTAGTTCCTCCACAAATGAGTCTTTGCAAAATAAGTTTTTCTATTAGAAATATAGTTGGATGTTATGCCAAATCAAGAATAACGTGATTGGATGCTTTATTTTAACCTGTTAACTTTTTTCATTTTAGGGGTTAAGTTTTATGGTTAAAGGGATAGTTCACCCAAAAATGAAAATTCTGTCATTAATTACTCACCCTCATGTCATTCCAAACCTGTAAGACCTTCGTTCATCTGTTTTTGTCCAAGGAAGATTTTAGTAATTTAGTTCAGACATTTAATTTTTCAGTCATTTAAAAGGGGTTGGCTATTTATTTGAATAAGATATTTTCATAATAATATTTTCACACATTAAATATTTCATTTGCATTTATACTATATATATCGCAAAAAGAAAAAAACTGCATATTTGCAAAAGCCTAGAAACATTAACTGGTTTAAACAAAATCATGTTGTCATAGTGTTTTGATGCATTGGACTATGGTGAGTTTAACCAGCTAAAGGGATAGTTCACCCCGAAATAAAAATTCTGTTATAACTTACTCCTCCTCAAGTTTTTCCAGACCTGTATTAGTTTCTTTCTTCTACTGAACACAAAAGAAGTTATTTTGAAGAATGTTGGTAACCATAAAGTTAACGGTAGCCATTGACTTTTTTACTGTGGAAGTCAATGGCCACCGTCAACTGTTTGGTTACCAACATTCTTCAAAATATCTTCTTTTGTGCTTGAAAGAAAAAAGAAACTCATACAGGTTTGGAACAACTTGAGGATAAGTAAATTATACCAGAATTTTCATTTCGGGCTGAACGATCTCTTTAAGTGTCCCTTCTCTCAGTAAATATAGCCAAAAGGCCCAAAATAGCATTAAACAAACCTTGATGTAACTAAACAGTCTTACTGGCATCATTGCTACGCTGAGTCGCTGCAGTTGTGTGTGAAACAAGTGCTGACACGATCGATTCAGAGAAATTCTCTTCTGTTTTACAGAAAGTCCGACTTGCCAGGATTCGCTTGGCCAAGAAGGGAACCACCAACGCCTTCCTACATTACAAAGAAGATGGAGGATTTCAGGTGAGATTTTTCATGAGTAGTCTAAAAACAATGTGACCATGTACTCGCCCCCATGCTGCTCCTTTCAGGTATGACTGCCTTGCTTCAAAATAAAAGAGGACATTTTGAGGATAGCAGTGATCAGGAGATGTCATGCTCCAAAGAGGCCAAAAAACGCAGTAAAAGTAGTCCATGCTACCCGTGGCTTTGAGAACACACTAAAAATTCAGTCATTTTAACTTCTCAAATTTCATTTGTGTGTATGCAGACTTCATGCACACTATCATTCAAAACCGTGCGTCGGTAAGTTTTTAATGCTTCTGAAAGTCTCTAATGCTTGCACAAATGCTCTCTTATGCTGCATTTATTTGATCAAAAATACAGTAAAATGGCAGCAATATTGTAAAATATTATTATAATTTAAAATAACCCTTTTTAAATCTAAAAAATCTAATTTGTTCCTGTGATGCCAAACGGAATTTTCAGCATCATTACTCCAGTCTTCAATGTCACATGATCCTTCAGAAATCAGTCTAATATGTGGATTTGATGCTCAAGAAACATTTACTGTTATTATTATTGTTGATCACAGGTGTGATGCTTCATATTTTTGATGAATGGAAAGTTCAAAGAGCTTTTATTTGAAACAGAAATCCTTTGTAACATTATAAATGTCACTTTCGATTAATTTAATGCATCCCTGCTGAATAAAACAATTAATTTCATTTTTAAAAGATCCTACTGACTCAAAACTTTTGCACTAAAAAAAAAAAAAAAAAAAAAAAGTCTGTTATGCATCATTTACATCAACGCAAGCTTGTAAAATAAACAGACAAAGTTTGAATAAAGTTTTAGTCTGTTCTCAACACAAGGCTATCCTATAACTTCAAAAGACTTTAATTATAGCATACAAATCATGTGGATTACTTTTATGATACTTTTATGCTTTTAGTCCTTTTCGGAGCTCGCAAGCACCCATTTCTAATTAAAATTCTTCAGAATGTCTCTTTTTATGTTCCTTGTAAGAAAGGAAGTCATATGAGTTTGGTACAATATGTGGGTGAGTAAATGATGACAGAACTTTGCTTTTGCTGTGAACTATATATTGAAATGATCTGAACAATAGTCCATGTCAATCTCCCAGGCTGCCTCACTGAGCACATCCAAGAAGAACTAGTTGAGGATTTGACAATGTTTGCCTAACATCAAATCTTTAAAAGATACACAGAGTTTTGTAGCATAAAGGGAATCTTTCAGAACAGACATTAAACATCTGACTGTATGAGTCTATGGAGATATAGACGGTAATATTTGTGTGTATTTTGGGAAGTCGTATTGCTGAAAAAGAATCGTTAAGTGTTCTCTCAACTACAGTTAGTATTGTGTCTACGTACATAGAGTGTAATAGATGCTGCAATGATTCTCCAGCAGAAATGTTTGATATTGGATCTTCCATAATAAGATGGTTTTCTGTTTAGAGGCTAACAGGAGCATCTCGCCTGACAGCAAATTTAAGAATGAAAAATCTCACAACAATTCATGCACATTACTGGCCAAGCTGTAATGTGCATACATACATTTTTGCTCAATATACTCAAAGGGACAATTCACCTGAAGATGATAATTTTGTCATTATTTACTCTCCTTGTTACGGTGGCCGAGAAGTGCAAAGCAAATCACAATTCTGAAAGTCAGCGGTGAGTAATCCCAAACCAATGGCACTCACTCAAACTATACCTACCTCTTCCGGTTTGTCTGATTTGTCGTTGTGTTTTCTGACTTATGTTTTCTGAATTGTTGTTGTGCTTTCTGAATTGTTATTTTGTTTTTTAGACTTGCATTTGCGTTTGTAATTTGTTTTTTTTGTTTTTTTCAGAATTGTGATTTGCTTTGCACTTCTCGGCCACCGTACCCTGTTGATCCAAACCTGTATGACTTTTCAGACTTTACACCTCGTGCCTACAGCCGAATCACAGCCATGCCGATATACAGCCATATCTACAGTATCTGTCTATCTATCTATCTATCTATCTATCTATATACCTGACTTTCTATAAATATATATATATATATATATATATATATATATAATCTGTTTCAAGAATTGCAGAAAAGCATCAAAACAGCTGAGTTGTGTAGCTCCGCCCACAGTGAACTCTCATTGGTCCTTTTCACATTGGTGTATATTAAATATCAAGTATGTTCTGATTGGCTGATTTTGTCATTTCTTGTAGTGATGAAAAAATAACGATGCTGGAAACTGAGATATTCAACTAAAGCTTTAAGTTTTAGCAAATTATTTCTAGAAAAAAAATGGAAGATGTGATGGAGGAATGTCAGAAAAATAGTTGGAGAATAATGTAAACAATTATATTTATCATAATAATTGATGGGATTAATTAAACATGTTCCCTTTAAACTTTCATGTGGAACATTCATAATGAGTAATAATACGAGTCAAAGTCACAGCATCTTCAGCTCACCGCTTGACCAGGAGGTCCAGGAACGCCACATTCTCCCTGTGAGAAGTAAAGTAAAGCAAGGAAATCAAATTAATGCAAATAAATCCTGTCCGTCTCAGAAAGGTTTGGTGTTAAAGTGGATTGACTGGTCTTGAGTAATGCAGCAGATAAAGTTTAAACAAAGTCCCTTTAAGAGAAGTAATTTGCGGCCATATTTGAAACGCATGCAATGCAATGATATTTGACAACAACTGCCTCATAAATATTGTTCCTTATGCTCTAATAGTGTTTTTTTTTTTTTTCTTTCAGAGTAAACGGGACCATCTGTTAATGAATGTGAAATGGTACTATCGTCAGTCTGAGGTACCTGACTCCGTCTACCAGCACCTGGTGCAGGACCGCAACAATGAGAACGGTACGTGTGTGTGTGTGATGGTTGAAAAACACAGAACTTCATTTGAAGGGTCCTTCTCGCCCGCCATCATTTATGTAACCACCCCTGGTTATTGGTTTGTGAGGTTTCATAGAGAATGGCATCTCAAATAAATGTGGATTCGGAAAAAAAATACCACCCTCCTGCCCTTGTTTCCCTGGTAACGCTCCCTCAAGAGCGACAGCGGGGCCATGAAGTGCAAATAACTTTCAATGTAATGTGCCCTCCGAGCTCTCATTCTCCCGACTATCAGCAGCAAATCTGAGCTTGATACACACATCAGGCAGTAATAGCAGGCCGGGGGCTCTGCCCGGCTGGGGCTTTGGCACTTTGATTCACACCGTACTCTAATAAAGCATTAAGAAGGCTTGCGTTTCTGCCAGCCTGCTGGAGAGCAGCAGCCGCTACCTGCTGCACCACTGACTAGTCTGACATGGCGGCCATTGTTATTTGTGCTAATGCCATCTGAAGACGAATATTCATCCAGTACTGTCTGTTTGGATCTTTGATTGAAATATTTGCCTGAAAAGCTTCAGAATAAAATTTTTGTATTTCATTCAGCTTTTTCAATTGCATTAAATGTTTTTGTTTTTTATTGAATTGAAACCCGTTGCTTAATTCTTTTCCACTCTATTGTCCATTTCCACAAGCTGCTGTACTGCTACATTCATTGTGGTATAAGTCTATAGCAGTCATATTTCATAAGCTGTGAGAGTGTCTGGTTTCTTTTGTCTCGCCTGCGTTTATTATGTGTGCACGTTTTTATTAGCGGCAGTCTGGATGCCTCTCACGCTCCACGCTCAGTGTCTGCTTTCTGTCTCTTTCTCCAGACTCTGGTCGCGAGCTGGTTATTACTGATCCCGTGGTTAAGAGCAGAGAGCTCTTCATCTCAGACTATGTGGACACCTATCATGCTGCTGCCCTCAGGTAATACACACAATTACATTTACCTGTGCTTAGGAATTTATTAATTAACCCACAGCAGTAAAGTGCTTAATAAGAGTTCACCTAATAGAGGAAAACCTCTCAATATTCAGTGTAACTCAATATACCTCTCTCTCTATATATATATATATATATATACTGTGTGTGTGTGTATATATATATAGTGTTGATGCACTCCAAATTTCCACATTTGTTTTGTTTTTGTTTTTGTTTTGCTTTGTGTGTGTTCTACATAAAACTGAAGTCATATAGATTTGGATCGACAATACAATACAACGAAAGTGAATGGGGTCCAATGTCGTTTACGCCCCCAAATATCCTCCGATTTTTCCCCATGTTACACAGAAAAATAAAGTCCTACAGGTTTGGAAAAGCATAAGGGTAAATTTATTTTCATTCTGTTTAAAAATTGCCAAAGATCTGTCATCTTTAAAATATTAAATGTCTTTGTCCATTAATAATGTGAAATTTTCACAGCTCAGAACTGCAACAGAAATCTAATTCCTCAGATTTTAAAAGCATTAAACTATAAAAGTTTAATACAACACATTAAATCACAGTGGAACCCAGCAACAAGAGAATCTCAGCTCCAGCATCAAAGTATTCATATTCACAGCAACTCGTAAAAAGTACAGTATATTATTCAGCTGCCAGCGTGCTGCTAAGCACAGAACAGATTTCTGAGATATTAACGATCATACGGTCTTTCCGATCTCATCAAACAGTGTTACAGTATGCGTAAAGGTCAGTCATTTGGCCTCTGAGAATGCAACAGTCCCACAAGTGCCTTGTAATAACAGCTTTTTCATATGGCCGCTGACATTCAGAGTCAGCTAAACGTGGTTTGAGGGCTGTGCCCGGGGCGCCACGTCCTTGCTGTGAGGAAATAGCAATTAACAACAGGGAATAAAAGGCAGGTGATGCCAGACAGGTGGGATGCACAGCAGTAATTACAGAGATCCTTTAAGGCGAGTCGGTTCACTTGACGCTTATCTTAGTAATAACCCCCGGACAGCTTTTTTTCAAGGGGTCAGGTTCAGGTTAGCACGGTTCGGTTAGCCTCCTGCTGGTAGATGCCATAACTACACCATCTGGAGTCATGTAAGAATTGGAGATCTAGGAAAATGTAGTTTTGACCTGGTTCTCCTTCCTGGGTCATTTTATGAGGCGCTTTACCTCAT